TAGGGCGGGTGTAGCTGTCTTTGACCTTGACTTTGATGTTATTCTTGCTGCCATGTATGCTGTGACTATTAGTGATGAGGGTGACTGTTACCGGTGTTTTCCGCCCGACCCGGGCATTGAGACTGCTGCTCTAGGTACTGGTGAGGCTGCTGCTCTAGGTGCTAGCGAGGCTGCTGCTCTAGGTGCTCGTGCGTCTGCTCCCTCAGGTGCTGGTGAGTCTGCTCTCTCAGGTACTGCGTCGGCTTCGGCCTCCCACACCTTCACCCTTGACTCGGGGGCTTCTCGCTCCTTCTTTCGAGACCGCACCACACTCACGCCGCTTGGCCGGCCAGTTGCAGTCTCTCTGGCAGACCCCTCTGGGGGTCCTGTCCTTGCTCACTTCTCCACTGTCCTCCCGTGTCCGACGGCCCCCTCTGGCACCCTGTCTGGTCTTTACCTCCCCTCGTTCTCTACGAACTTGGTGAGTGGTGCTGACCTACAGGATGCGGGGGTTCACCAGTTCACTCCTGCGAGTCAGCGGGTGACCCACTGCACGGACGCTCGGACAGGCCGACACCTGGCCACGTTTACACGTCGGCCGGGGTCGAGCCTGTACACGCTGACCACTGCGTCTCCTCCAGTCACTGCGTCTGGTCAGGTAGCTGCGTCGGGTCAGGTGTTTGCTGCAGCGTCCAGGTCTGGTCCTGAGTCTGCCCCCTGTTCGTGTCGCCTCCTGTCGCACGAGACTCTCCTCTGGCACCACCGCCTTGGTCACCCCTCCCTGCTTCGTCTCCGAGGCATGGCCTCCCGTGTCCTTGTCTCTGGTCTTCCCCGGTCCCTCCCTCCCCTTCCTCCGGGGCCCGGCCCTACCTGCGTCCCTTGTGTCGAGGGGCGGCAGCGGGCTGCCCCTCACTCCTCCCAGTTTCCTCCGACAGAGGCCCCGCTGCAGACGCTTCACATGGACGTGTGGGGCCCGGCCCGCGTCCGTGGACAGGGTCACGAGCGCTACTTCCTGCTGGTGGTTGACAACTACTCGCGTTACACCACAGTCTTCCCCTTACGCAGCAAGGGTGATGTCACAGAGGTGTTGATCGACTGGATCCGCGCAGCTCGTCTCCAGCTCAGGCAGAGCTTCGGCTCGGACTTTCCTGTTCTGCGTCTGCACTCTGACAGAGGTGGAGAGTTCTCCTCTGGCCTTCTGCGAGCCTACTGTCGTGCACGAGGCATCCGCCAGACCTTCACGCTTCCGGACTCTCCACAGCAAAATGGGATTGCTGAGCGCCGCATTGGCATGGTCATGGACGTCGCCCGTACGTCCATGATGCATGCGACTGCCCCCCATTTTCTGTGGCCGTTTGCGGTTCGGTACGCGGCGCATCAGATCAACCTTCACCCCAGGGTCTCCATGCCGGAGACCTCCCCAGCTTTGCTGTGGACGGGGAAGGTTGGCGATGCGTCTGCGTTCCGTGTCTGGGGATCTCGGGCGTTTGTCCGCGACTTGTCTGCGGACAAGCTGTCCCCTCGTGCTGCTCCTTGCGTCTTCCTTGGCTTCCCCCCTGACGCGCCAGGGTGGCAGTTCTACCACCCCACCTCTCGCCGTGTTCTGTCCTCCCAGGACGTCACGTTTGACGAGTCGGTCCCCTACTACCGCCTCTTCCCCTACCGCACTCCGTCCCTCCCCCCGCCACCGCTCTTCCTTGTGCCAGGGCCCCCCCCAGTAGACCCCCTCCCCCCTCAGGGTCCTGCCCCTTCAGGTGTGTCCCAGGTAGACGCCGTCGAGCCTGTCGAGGTTACTGGTGACTCTGGTGCTGCTGAGGGTGCTGAGCCTGGGGGTGCTGACTCTGGGGGTGCTGAGCGTGTGGGTGCTACGCCTGGGGGTGCTGAGCCTGAGGGTGCTACTCCTGGGGGTGCTGAGCCTGGGGGTGCTGAGCCTGGGGGTGCTGAGCCTGGGGGTGCTGAGCCTGGGGGTGCTGAGCCTGGGGGTGCTACGCCTGGAGGTGCTGAGCCTGGGGGTGCGGAGCCTGAGGGAGCTGGGCCTGCTCGTGTGGCGTCTGGCGGTGCTGAGCCTGGAGGTTCTCCGGGTGCTTCGTCTCGGCGGGAGCCACTCTCTCCACAGGAGCTACGAGAGTGGTTTGCCCGGCGCTGGAGGCGTGCTGCTGGAGCTGGAGGTTCTTCGGCTGCTGAGGGTGCTGGTGCCGCGGGTCCCGGAGGTGCTCGTACTGGGAGTACTGGAGCTGCTGGGCCTGCGGGTACGACTGGAGCTGGAGCTGCTGAGGGTGTTGGCGCTGAGGCTACTGCTGTCGGTCCTGGAGGCGGTCCTGCTGGGGGTGCTACTGGTGCTGCTGGAGGTACTGGAGCTGGAGGTGCTGCTGGCGCTGGCGCTGCCGCTGGGGGTATTGGTGCTGTCCTTGCTGTGTCTGGAGTCGCCGCGCGGCCTCGGCCGTACTTCGTTCCACTCCTTCAGCAGGTTCTTGGTCTCCCGCCTTCTACTGGTCCTCCTCCTCCCTTAGAGTGTCCACAGCCTGTCCCGTCACAGTTACAGTTACAGCCGGCCTCCCCACTGCCCGCTCCTTCTCCCTACACTGGTCCTACTGGAGCTCTGGCTGAGCGTCGTGAGCCTGCGTCTCGCCCTGCGTCGCCTGTCCGTCTTGCTCGCACTAGTGGTCGTGGTTCGCGTCAGCGTCCTCCTCCTGTCCCTGGCACGCACCGGATGTCTCTGCGTCCGTCCACTGCTCCTCTGCGTGCCCCTTTGCCTTCTCCTCCTGAGTCCTCTCTTCCTGCTCTTCCCGACCCGGAGTCGGACTCTCTTCGTGCTGCCAGTCCTACTGTCACGCGTCTCCTTGCTACTGTCGTCACTGACCCTTCCTTTGAGTCCACTGCTGCGTCTGCCCTAGTTGCTGAGCTCGTCGACTTTGCTGCTCGCTGTCGTCTAGACTACGCTGCTAGTCTTGTCGTTGAGTCTGAGTCTGTCTGTCCTCCGTCCGTCGGGGGTGAGTGTGCCCTTGGCACGGACGTTCTTGAGGACAGGCAGGAGGAGTTCCAGTGTTTGACTGCTGCTTCACCTCATCTCGTGTCCGTACTGCTTACCCCTGAGGGAGACCCGGATGCACTTGACATCCCGACTCCGCGCTCTTACGCGGAGGCGATAGAGGGTCCCTACTCCTCTCAGTGGCAGGCAGCTATGGATACAGAGATGGCTTCCTGGAAGTCCACAGGCACCTACGTTGACGAGGTTCCCCCGCCTGGGGCGAACATCGTCAGTGGCATGTGGATTTTCAGGGTGAAGCGACCGCCGGGTTCTCCGCCTGTCTTCAAGGCGCGTTACATTGCACGAGGCTTCAGTCAGCGACAGGGAGTTGACTTCTTCCAGACCTTCTCCTCGACCCTTATTATGTTATGCCTATTGATGGGTATTGGCCCCGCACTCGCTTGGGTGAAGCCGATTTCACAGTCGAGTGCGCGGGAGGTGCAACCGACTGCTCGCAGAAGTCGACGTCGACTGCCTGCAGAAGTCGACGCCGACTGGCCGCAGAAGTCGACGCAGACTTAGGCGAACAGGTCGACGAAGTTGGTCGACCTCTGCGGGACCTCTGCCAAGCCGCCAACGAAGGAGATCGGCTGTCGACTTCTACCTAGGTGGTCGACGAAGAAGTTCGTCGACGTGTGGAACGGCGACGCGGGAGAGTCGGCGGACGGTGTCGACCAGGGCGATCGACGAGCAAGGACAGTACTTGGCGGGCTTCTACCGCCCGCTAGGGCAACGACGACTTCGGAACTACCTGGTCGACAGAAGTGGTGATCGAGCAGGCTCTGCTCGACGGGACCTGGTCGAAGAGCCCGTCGAAAACCGCTGCTCGACGGTGCAGCATTGAACCAGTCGAGGGAGGCTGCTGTGCTGCGAACGTGGCAGAAGCGCGAGTTTCACTTCTGCGAGCTTTCGCGAAGTCGACCTCCGGGCTGGTATCCCGAGGTCGACGTTTTCTCAAGAGTGTCACTCGCGGCAAAGTTCAAGAGAGCAGCGGGCGAAATCACACCGTTGTAAACAACGGTAACCAGGATAGCATTACTTAAGCAAGAGTAGGGAATGTGCTCCTTGCTTGCGTGTTTGTTTTCACACTGTTATTGAATTAAGCCAATCTGATCCTTGGTAAGAAGGCTTGGGTGGGGCCAATCATAGCAAGCAAACAGTTAAGCTGGGACCCACTTAGGAGAGTCAGCCGAGTTAGATCCAGGTGCAGCCCGACACCGACTTGGTCTAGGCACCTTCTTAAGGATATGGGGCTGCTGAGAACAAGAGCAGGATGAGAAGCTGCAAGCACAGAGAGAAGAGGGAGATATCCGACTCGCAGAGTTGGCAAGCCGCAGACTTGCTCTGCTGGCAGGCCGCCTTTCTGCAAAGCTGGCGTAGTGCCTTTCTGCTGTGCTGGCAGGTCGCCCCGTTGCTGCGCTGGAGGTCGACCTGCCTGGTCGCTAGGCTGCTAGGTCCCAGATGTGGTCACTGTGCCATTGCAATTTTCTATCATTCTGCATTCTGTATTCTTAACTTTGCTAGTGAAACTCTTGCCAATTCTTGGTGTGAACACACAAGTGCTAGAGAACGCTAATGCAAAGCTACGATCGCTCGGACCACCCGTGTCTTCCCCCGTAGTCCAGCTCCCGGCGTTGAGTGATTCTCCGCAATGCCTAGTCGTATGAAATCGCAAAGATGAGCTAAAATATGGTGTGAGTAAAAATACATGTCATGTAATGGTCTCATGTGCAATTTTCTCCATTGACGGCGGAACCCTGATTTTTTTCCGCGATAGATTAGAAGCGCACCTGGTAACCATGTATTTAGTTTGAAGTTTGCAGAGCCTGCGTTCGCTTCCATTTCACCCACGCACACCACCTGCAACACACCCATTCCATACCAGCTGCGCGTGGTTGGTTTTTGGGAGTGCTCTTCAGAAAAGCATACATAGTTGTCAATCTTAGAACCACACAGTGCACTATCTACTAACCTAGTCGTCAACTAAGCGCAGATGTACGCCATTCTGCAGGTGGGGTCGCAGGCCTACGCGCACCGCCTGTTCCTCTACGCCACGTCAACCACGCTCAAAGTACGCCTGGGAATCACAGACGCTACTGAACAGCAGTGCTGTTGCCGATTGCGGTGGTTAGTGCGGTTGCGAAGTTCGTTTGCGGTTTCGTCTCCTCAAATCCCATCGCAGTGTCACGATTTGCAACGCTAGCCGCCTTAGGAACGGACCATGATTTTTGACACAAGAGTAGCACTCGCATTGTGACACAGCACGCGCGCCGCGCCCCCCACCTCTGCAATCTTTTGGCAATTACTAACTCATGATTCAACGTCTTTTCTGCAGTGATTTTATAAACAGCAAATTCTCAGGGAAAAGCTGGGCGAAGGTCTCAAACGAGTAGCAGTTCTTGGCTTTGTTTTTTCCGTGTGCGTGCGTGACACATCTATTTATGACAGCGGTTTTCCGGCAGCGATTCCGGGTTTCGCCTCGCCCTCTTCACGTGCGCATAAACCCTCAACCTCGCTTCTCCCCTCCCCCACACCCCCCTTTTCCCCCTCCCTCACCCAACCCACTCACCTTCTACCCCCTACTCTCTACCAAATCTCTCCCCCGCCCCCCACCACGCCCCATTCCCTCCTCCGCATGTCCCACTCTCCTCCCCCACTTCCCCCCTCCCTTCAAACGCCCGCGCAGCTGTTCCCCTTGGGGGCGGTGGCGGGCGCGGAGGAGCTAGGGCCGCACACGGACCACCATGGGGCGGCGCTGGTGCTGCTGCGCGGCTGCTGCCTGTCCCCGGGGGAGATGGCAACATTAGTCGACTCCACCTTCCTCAGCAGGTGACGTGGCGTGGCTTGATATGACATAGCATGAGGTGACGTGTCAGTGTTGCTGCTGCTGCTGCTGCTGCTGCTGTTTTGGTTGCTGCTCCTAGTGTTGCTCCTGCTGCTGCTAGTGTGGTTCTGATGCCCGCGGGAGGTCTCCGCTTTTCTCTGACTTTCTCTGCTTTTCTCTGCCTTTCTCTGCCTTTCTCTGACTTTCTCTGCTTTTCTCTGCCTTTCCCTGCCTTTCTCTGCCTTTCTCTACTTTTCTCTGCCTTTCTCTGCCTTTCTCTGCCTTTCTCTGCTTTTCTCTGCCTTTCTCTGCCTTTCTCTGCCTTTCTCTGCTTTTCTCTGCCTTTCTCTGCCTTTCTCCGCTTTTCTCTGCCTTTCTCTGCCTTTCTCTGCCTTTCTCTGCTTTTCTCTGCCTTTCTCTGCCTTTCTCTGCTTTTCTCTGCCTTTCTCTGCCTTTCTCTGCCTTTCTCTGCTTTTCTCTGCCTTTCTCTGCCTTTCTCTGCCTTTCTCTGCTTTTCTCTGCCTTTCTCTGCCTTTCTCTGCCTTTCTCTGCTTTTCTCTGCCTTTCTCTGCCTTTCTCTGCCTTTCTCTGCTTTTCTCTGCCTTTCTCTGCCTTTCTCTGCCTTTCTCTGCTTTTCTCTGCCTTTCTCTGCCTTTCTCTGCCTTTCTCTGCTTTTCTCTGCCTTTCTCTGCCTTTCTCTGCCTTTCTCTGCCTTTCTCTGCCTTTCTCTGCCTTTCTCTGCCTTTCTCTGCTTTTCTCTGCCTTTCTCTGCCTTTCTCTGCCTTTCTCTGCCTTTCTCTGCCTTTCTCTGCTTTTCTCTGCCTTTCTCTGCCTTTCTCTGCCTTTCTCTGCCTTTCTCTGCTTTTCTCTGCCTTTCTCTGCCTTTCTCTGCCTTTCTCTGCCTTTCTCTGCCTTTCTCTGCTTTTCTCTGCCTTTCTCTGCCTTTCTCTGCCTTTCTCTGCCTTTCTCTGCCTTTCTCTGCCTTTCTCTGCCTTTCTCTGCCTTTCTCTGCCTTTCTCTGCCTTTCTCTGCCTTTCTCTGCCTTTCTCTGCCTTTCTCTGCCTTTCTCTGCCTTTCTCTGCCTTTCTCTGCCTTTCTCTGCCTTTCTCTGCCTTTCTCTGCCTTTCTCTGCTTTCTCTGCCTTTCTCTGCCTTTCTCTGCCTTTCTCTGCCTTTCTCTGCCTTTCTCTGCCTTTCTCTGCCTTTCTCTGCCTTTCTCTGCCTTTCTCTGCCTTTCTCTGCCTTTCTCTGCCTTTCTCTGCCTTTCTCTGCCTTTCTCTGCCTTTCTCTGCCTTTCTCTGCCTTTCTCTGCCTTTCTCTGCCTTTCTCTGCCTTTCTCTGCCTTTCTCTGCCTTTCTCTGCCTTTCTCTGCCTTTCTCTGCCTTTCTCTGCCTTTCTCTGCCTTTCTCTGCCTTTCTCTGCCTTTCTCTGCCTTTCTCTGCCTTTCTCTGCCTTTCTCTGCCTTTCTCTGCCTTTCTCTGCCTTTCTCTGCCTTTCTCTGCCTTTCTCTGCCTTTCTCTGCCTTTCTCTGCCTTTCTCTGCCTTTCTCTGCCTTTCTCTGCCTTTCTCTGCCTTTCTCTGCCTTTCTCTGCCTTTCTCTGCCTTTCTCTGCCTTTCTCTGCCTTTCTCTGCCTTTCTCTGCCTTTCTCTGCCTTTCTCTGCCTTTCTCTGCCTTTCTCTGCCTTTCTCTGCCTTTCTCTGCCTTTCTCTGCCTTTCTCTGCCTTTCTCTGCCTTTCTCTGCCTTTCTCTGCCTTTCTCTGCCTTTCTCTGCCTTTCTCTGCCTTTCTCTGCCTTTCTCTGCCTTTCTCTCCCTTTCTCTGCCTTTCTCTGCCTTTCTCTGCCTTTCTCTGCCTTTCTCTGCCTTCCTTTCTCTGCCTTTCTCTGCCTTTCTCTGCCTTTCTCTGCCTTTCTCTGCCTTTCTCTGCCTTTCTCTGCCTTTCTCTGCCTTTCTCTGCCTTTCTCTGCCTTTCTCTGCCTTTCCTTGCTTACGCTCCTCTCCCCATGTGGTACCTGCCATTGTATGGCATGGCATGGCATGGCACGGGCGAGCAGGTACATCCATCGCATGTACTGGTGCGAGCATGTGGAGTCCTGCCCCTGGCAGATGGTGCGATCGGTAGCTCAGTGGGGGGGAAATCAAGCCCAAGCGCAGGTGCAAGCCCAGGCCGTGGAGGGAATGGGGGGAAAAACTGAGGCAGGGGAAGAGGAGGAGGAGGATGAGAGCAGAGCAGGGGTTGTGGAGCAGAAGCAGCAGCAGCAGCAGCAGCAGCAGCAGCAGCAGCTGGAGCAGCAGCAGCTGGAGCAGCAGCAGCAGGAGGAGGGAAACGTGCAAGAGCAGACCCAAGGCACTGCTCCCCGTGTGTCCATCCGCGTACAGGCCTTCCCCAAGCACTTCGAGCGATGGATAGCCACGCACCTGCCCCCCTCTTTGCCCCTTGACCCCAAACGCTTCACCCACACCCTCAGTGCAGTTTCCACGGCTCCCCACTTCTTCCCCTTCCACCCCCGCCAGCCTTCCATCTCTGCCTCCCTCACCCCGTTTCACCTGCTCCCTCCCGTGCCCCCCTGCTGCTGCAGCAGCAGAGGCGGGGAGGGGTGCGCGGGGGAAGGGGAGGGGGGAGGGGGAGAGGGAGGGAATGAGGGGGGAGAGCGGGGAGAGGGGATTAATGGTCCAGCGGTAGTATTGCAGCAGCAGCGTCAGGAGCAGCAGAAGGAGCAGCAACAGCAGCAGAAGCAGGAAGGAGGCATATTGGAGCATGTCGACGGGAGGTTGGATAAGGGCAGTGGGAGCGTAGACGATGGGAGAGGCGAGGAGCAGGATGGTACGAGAGGAGAGAATGGGGAAGGCCAGGCAGTGAGTGTCGACAGTCGTCCATCTACCAAGGCAGGTTGGTTGGTTGTGCTGTGTTGGTTGCGTTGCATTCCGTTGCTTTCGGTTGTGTTGCGTGGAGTTGTGTGAATGAGTAGCAGCGTGAGCGCATCACCATCTGTGTGCTCCCATCCCACCACTAGCTGTGCTGTGATTTGACCGTGATTTGGCCGAATCAATCGGGCGTTAGTGACTGTGCGTGTGTGACTGTGCATTAGCGACCACTCAAAGTACTCGTATACATTCCATCTCACGTGTTCTATCCATCCATGCAGGAAACTCCTCACTCATCCACCATCACAGCGCATCCCACCATCCCACAAAACCCCCCACCTTCCACGCCCCCACCACCCTCTCCACCACCCTCCACACTCTCCCCACTCTCCCCACCACCCTCCTCCTCCACACTCTCCCCACCACCCTCCTCCTCCTCACTCTCCTCGCCACCCTCCACGACTCAAACCTTCCCTTCGGACCCCCCTCAAAACTCAGAACACCGCTCCTCATCTGAGGCTCCCCAAACCTCCCCTCCTCCTCGCCGCACGCGCCGAGACTGCACCCCAGTACCGCTCGTCCCTCCCGACGCGCGCATATTCTTCTCGCTCTCCCCCGCGCGCTCCATGTGGCGCCTGGCGAGCGACCGCAAGGCCGGTAGTGACGGCTGTGCCAGCAGTGCTGTGAGCAAGCTGGAGGAGGTGCTGCACGTGGTGGGGTGGCGGCTGAGAGAGGATATGACAGGTGAGGCCCTTGAGGGGAAGGAGAGGGGGTTCAAGGGGTGGGGCGGGGGCTGGGAAGGGGTGTAGGCCGGTCCACGTCCTTGGGTGCCAGGGTGCGCCACGTCCTTGCCATCGATCCCGCACAACCAATCACTCCCCTCTCTGCCCCTCTCGCACCTCCTTCTTCCCTCCCTCCATGCGTTGCTCCCGCCCTCTGTGCTCCCTCAACCCAGCCATGGACGTGGGAGCAGCACCGGGGGCATGGACGGAGTATCTGAGCGCCAGGATGCGCCACGTGCTTGCCATCGACCCCGCAGCCCTCTCGCCTGCTGTCACGGCCCGGGGGAACGTCACCCACATCAAGAAGATGGTGAGGTTGAGGGTGGGGGGGAAGGCGCATGTGGGCTTGTGAGGGCGAGGGGAGGAGGGGAGGGGGCTCTAATGACTGTCTTTCAGGCGGCTACGATTCAGGCGGCTTGAAGCTCTCACCTGCCGCTGTCACCACCACTCGGGGAGCGTCACCTGCATCAAGAGGATGGTGGGCTTGTGCGCTTTTAGGCGCTTCAAAGTTTATACAGTTCCTTTTCAGTTACCTTGCAGGCATCTCTCCTGCTGTCACGGCCAGCGGAATCGTCACCCATGTCAAGAACATGGTGAGCTTGTGTGCGTGTGGAGGGGGGAGGGGCTGGCGTTGAAGTGGCTCGTATGAGTACCTATCATGGCCTGGTCGCTCGGGGGAACTACCTTGGTGTCACGGCCCGGGGGAACGCCACGTCACCCACGTCAAAAAAATGGTGAGCTTGTGGGGAGGAGGGGGAGGCAAGTCAATGCTGCTGGTATGGCATGTGGCATGGGCAGGTGAAGGATCCAAGAGACAATGTGCACGCATGTCCGTTGTCTGCCAAGCTCATTCTCCCCACAGCGGATGCGTAGTTTCATTTCAAGAACCGTTCTGCGTTGGCCTGTATGAGATGAGGCGTTTCTTGAGGAGCCTTAGAACTCCGTTCTGATTGTACTGTGCTGCTTGTATGGCATGTGGTGGCATGAGCAGGTGGAAGATGCGTGGGATGATGTGCAAGCATGGTCCCTGGCATGCCAAGCTGATTCTCAACCACAGCCCACTGGTGCTGATGGGCACGATACTAATCGGGTGCATGAACCAGGGACAGACACCGCTGCACCCACCACCAGCAGCACCAGCGGGATCACCAGCAGCAGGAGCAGCAGCGGCATTGCCAGCAGTGTGGGCACCACACCTATGACAGCAGGGAGCAGTGAGCGTGGTGGTGGTGCTGGCATGTGCCATGGCCTCTTCTGTGACGCCAACAAGCACCCCCTGCAGGCTGCAACGCTCGTGGCGCCACTGCTGCCCGCACTGGCCTCTGGGGGAATACTGGTGGTTACCATGAAGTGCCGGGGACGGGGCAGGTGAGGAGTGGATTTGAGTTGACTTAAAATGGTTGATTTGAAAGGCTGGGGACGAGGGCTGTGAGGAAAAGAGGCAGTGATTTTGCTGTTTGTGCGGGGAAAGTATGGTGAGACGTGGGGGAGAACTGGCTGCTGTTTTGCTACGAGTGAGCGGGAACTTGTGCAGCAGTTTTTTTGTTCCCCACTTTTTTCTATGTTATTGTTGCTGTATTTGTTTTTTGTTTCATTTTCTTCCAACCCTCCACTCCCAACTTCCCGCCTTTCTCGTGCCCCCTCCATTGTTCCAGGGACAAGGAGTTATTGACGCAGCAGTTGACTGAGGCTCTTCCTGTATCCTTCCGTTATGCTGAGTGTGTGTGGCTTATGGCTAACTCAGTGTTCGAGCGCACGTTTGTTGGCATCAAGGCGTAGCTGACATGCTCGAAAGTATAGGAACTGTATCGTACCGTAAGAATGATCTTATGATCTATGCGGATAGTAACTTACAGTACCAATGCAGATGCATTGAGTTCACAGATGTGTGTCAAATGAAACACTGCCATGTTCTCCCAGCTCTCATAGCTTGAAGATGGTTACTGGTAGTACAGCAACCAGCATCAGTCCCATCATTATTTCTTAGTACAAACCGTCAAGGTGTCTTGACTTCAACGATTACCATATCAGAATGGACTGAAACGCATGTTTTTTATACACGGGTCATTTACAAGACCGCCAGACCTGCTTGTGGTGGTGGGGTGGCGTTTGCTACCAGGGCCAACCCGAGCAGACCCGCGCAAGAATCACAGTCCAGTCAGGGAGGACTCTCGGTCGTCTCGAGGGGTGCTTCCCATTCATTTCGGGCCACGCAAAAACAATGAAAAGGGAGGGTAGTAGTATGTCGGAATCGTAGTTTCAGGGCTATTCAAACTAGCGCTGAACTGCAGGATCTCCTAGAGACCGACGATGAAGGGAGGTCGCGAACTTCGTTCAAGATAAGCTAAGTGGTCCATCCCTTAAAACCCGCGGGCCAAGATAGGGCCAAGATATTCAAGCTTAGGAAGGTTGGTTGGGAGTGAGGACAGTAATTGCTAATTGCCCGTGAGCCAATAGGAGTGTCAAAGTTGTTGGACGAGGTGGTAGAAACTCGGGAAAATCACAGGCGATTTTGGGACACCCAACCAACACTAGGAAGGATGAACCAAATTTGGCCTTCTTGGCCCCCGGGTTTTAAGTGATGTTCAGGGAAACCCACTTCGGCTGAGCGATTGAACGCAGCAGCCAAGTATATGGAAGCAGGTTCTTTGTCGGCCTGTGTCAAGAACGGCACTTGTTGTGGAAAGTGTTCAAGATAAACTACTTCGACAAAGTACACGTATTGGGAACTCCGAAGAGTCTCGAGAATTCATCGTCCACAGCCCCAACGAGCATTTCGTTTCCTGGGGCCTAGCGGCATCACTGACCAGTCTGCCTGACTCAAGAAACCACACCACGGTAGTCAGGTAGTTGATGCAGGCACTCCACTATGCCTGAGTAGCTCACAAGAGTGTCGCGGACGGAGTGTCGCAGACGGAGCCCCGAGTCCCTTTCTCCGCCGTCGCGAACGCGCTCGTGTCCCTTTGAGCTGCGTCGCAGCGCAATGCGCTTTTCCGCTCCGACCCTCTAGGCTCGCTGGACTCGGCGCGCTTGCCTTCTCGCCATTGCGATTTTCTACTTTTGTTTTTTTCCCGTCCTCCGTCGTCATCATACGGCATTTGAAGTTGCAACTCGACTCAATCACATTGCCAATTTCCCGGTCAGGGCTTCTGCTGCCGACGCGGATACCCTTCCATCATCCGGTCGAACAACCGCTTCCGTTGTAACCAATATTTAACCGCCTCCTGCCTCTCATTCTTCGTTATGGAATCGTAGCACAGCGTTACCTCTGTCGCGGCTCATCGCATAAACGTCGCATGAACGTCGCTCGCACGTCGCGCGCGCGTCGCACGTCGTCGCATCGCCTGGGCGTGGGTAGTATCCGCTACCGCGCCATTTGAGCCCTTGCCGAAACCAGTTCCCGCCGCGCCGCAACTGTCCAGCTTTGCGCGGCGCCGTCCCTCGCGCCAAATATGGCCTCCCACTTAACTCTTAATCTCTTCTGTCTTGCTCTCAATCTCTCCGCCTGCCACATCACCCCTCCGCCTGGCCGCGCTTTACCCGTTACATTCCCCGGGCTTGGCCCGGGACCGGCGGGCGGCGCATTCCCCGGGGGGGACGCATTCCCCTCCGCCGTGGCGGGTCCGCGCGCGTGCAGCGAGGCGGAGAAGGCGGAAGCGGTAGCGGCGCTGCTGGCGACGACTGAGGGGCTGCGCTTGTGGCGGGGGGAAGATGCGCGGATATGGTGAGTGAGGAGGTGTAGCAATGCAGTTGCGCTCCTTGAGTGTGCGCGGAGCGGATATAAGTGTATCATGTATGATGTAATGTGCGAGCTGTTTGTATGGGAGTGTACTGCAAGGTAGTGTAGCTTTCTGTTGAGAGTTGCATTTTGCACGCTTTCACATGCATCCCATTCTCCTCCCCCACTTCCTCCCCCACTTATTCCCGAAACCCTCTCCCCCCTCTTTTCCGTCACCCCTCTCCCTCCCCTAACCCCCCTCCCCCCTTACCCCCACCAATCCTCCTCTTCCCCCCCGGGCCCCCCCTTTCATCGCTCTCCCCCTTCCTCCCCACGTCCCTCAGGCCCATCACGTATGGCTGACCCCTTCTAGAGGCGCCTCAAAAACACTTTCTTAAGGCGCCTCAAATCATGTCCCTCCGACCCATCACAAATGCCTGACCCCTTCTCGCTCCCTCCTCCCCCCCACCTTCCCCCTTCCCTCCCCCCCTCCTCCCACCCAGCACGAGCGCCAAAGGCGTGTGCTTTCAGCCGCAGCCCATCTCCGTGCCTGCTCATGGCGGCAGCGGCGGCGGCGGCAGCAGCATTTGTCCCAAGCTGCTGCTGCTGCCGACTAAAGGTGCAGGAAGAAGGAGGGATAGGGGTCTGTCTGATCTGCTTGACTTGAGAATGGTGGTGGTGTGGTGTGTTGTGGTGTGGTGTGGTGTGGTGGCATGGCATGAAGAGTGGCAGCTTAAGGTGGGGGAGGGATGGAGAGGGCGAGGGAGGGATGGGTTGGGAAAGGGAGGGAGAATGGGGGGAAGGGAGGGAGGGGGGGGGAGGGGGAGGGGTGATTCGGCTGTTTAACGCACTCTGGCACTCTCTCGCACTTTGGTACAGAAGGGAACCCAGAACCCTAGACTGTACCAAGAACTTGCCCCTTCGCTCCCCATTCCTTCCCCTTCCTTCGTCCCCCCCCCCACCCAGCCTCCCCCCTCCCTGCCCTCCCTTCTCCATGCAATTTCCTACCTTCCGAGCCCTGGTTTCTTGCCCTGGTTTCGCCTGTTTCTTTCTGAATGTTCTGTTTCCCGTTTTTTTTACCGTTTCTTTTTTTTAGGCGTCTGAAATAACCTCCCGTTTCTGTGCGCACCATCTCTATCCTGTCCTCTTGTCCTCTTGTCCTTCCCTCGCAAACCTCAGATGCTCCCTTCCAGGTGTTGCATCGACCACTCCCATCCAAACGAACAAAAACCACCAGCAGCAGCAGCAGCACCCCGTGTGGCAGTTTCCTCTCTCCTTCCTCCCCCTCCCCTTCTTCGTCCTCCTCCCCGAACCTGCCTCTCCTCCCGTGCTCGCCTCCACGTCTCCTCCCCGCACTCCTAGACGCCAGCATTTGCCTGCAGCTGAGCGCCACAGCAGAAGATAAAGCACGCAGCAAGCTCAGGCGCGCAGACAGAGTGGAAAGGGCGGGAACAGCTGCTGCTGCTGCTGCTGCTTCCGCTGGTGCTTTTGCTGGTGCTGATGGTGCAGGTTCTCACGGGGGAAGCAGGGCTACTAGTAACAGCAACCAGGGCCTCAGGAACAGAGGCCGAGGCAGAGGCAGAGGTGCAGAGGAGAGCCAAAGTGATAACACAGAGCCAAAGACCAGGGATGATGGGGGGAGCAAGATGAGAGACGGTGGGGTGGGGAAGGCTGGGAAGGAGTGACAGGGTCGAAGAGGAGAGGAGAGGAAGGAGGAGCAGGCATGGGAAAAGGGACAGGGAGGAGGGAGGGTAAGGTGGGCCGTGGCGGGAAGGCGAAGTGGAGAGACGAGGAGGAGGATGAGGATGAGGAGGAGGAGGAGGAGGAGGAGAGAAGGGGGAAGGGGAGGCTGGGGGGGAATGTGGTGGGAGGTAGTGGGGGACCAGAATCAGTGCCAGCCGAAGCACAGATGCTCATGTCGGTGGCAGTGCAGCAGGTGTGTGTGTGTGTGTGTGTGTGTGTGTGGGTGTGGGTGTGGGTGTGGGTGTGTGTGTGTGTGTGGGTGTGGGTGTGGGTGTGGGTGTGGGTGTGTGTGTGGGTGTGGGTGTGGGTGTGTGTGTGGGTGTGTGTGTGTGTGTGTGGGTGTGGGTGTGGGTGTGTGTGTGTGTGTGTGGGTGTGGGTGTGGGTGTGGGTGTGGGTGTGGGTGTGGGTGTGGGTGTGGGTGTGGGTGTGGATGTGTACGTGTGTGTGTGGGTTGGTTGGTGGATAGGTGGCACGGGGTATGTGTATGTGTGTGGGGGTGTGAGGGGAAAAAATCTGCTCCCTCCTTCACACGCACCCTCACTCCCTCCTTCACACGCACCCTCACTCCCTCCTTCACACGCACCCTCACTCCCTCCTTCACACGCACCCTCACTCCCTCCTTCACACTCACCCTCACTCCCTCCACACTCACCCTCACTCCCTCCTTCACACGCACCCTCACTCCCTCCTTCACACTCACCCTCACTCGCTCCTTCACACTCACCCTCACTCCCTCCTTCACACTCACCCCCACCTCTCCCTTCACCTCTTTCCTCACCTCTCCCCTCCTCTCTTCCCTCTCTTCTCTCCCCTCACCTCTCCGCTCACATCTCCCCTCCCCTCTGGCCTTCTCACCAGGTCAACACGGGCAACTTCCAGCAGGCAATCGACATGTTCAGCACGGTAAGTGTCTAGTTTTGAGTTGAGCCGCCTCAGAACTCTTGAGGTGCCTCAGAAGTGAAAATATCTCACCCGGTCAACACACACATGGGTAGCATTAAGAGCAGGCAATAGACATGTTCAGCACGGTTAGTTTTGAGGTTTGAGACGCTTCAAAACTCTCGAGGTGCCTCACCAGAAAAAAATCTCTCAGTGGTCAACTCGGCACACAGACGGGCAACGTTGATGAGCAGGCTATCGACATGTTTAGCACGGTGAGTGTCGAGGTTTGAGACGCCGCCTCAGAAGACGATCAACATGTTCAGCATGGTGAGTGAGTGAGTGAGTGTGTGTGACTTGTTCATTGTCTTCCCACCACTGGGCAACCCCATAGTTCACACTTACACTTGTGTCACCAAACCCAACCCCAATCCCTTTTTCTCCCTCTTTCTCACTCCCTCCTTCTCCCTAACCTGTCCACTAAACAAAAGCTAAAGCAGCCACTGTTGGTGCCAGCTGCATGGTCCAGCAGAAGCCCGGCATTTGCGTCTTCACTACCCTTCACTTGCTGTCACCACCCTTCCTCCTGTTGCCATCACCGCCACTTTGTACCTCGATCGATACCTCCAACAATATACTCCCCCCCCATTCCCCCCCCCCCCCCCCCCAACTTCCCCCCCTCCTCTTCCCCCGCGTTTCCCCTACAGATGATAAAGAAAGGACACTTGCTGTCGGCTGCGTTGATCGGCAGAGGCACGGCGTATGCATCTTCACTATCCTTCACCCTTCCTATTGACATGACCGCCACTTCTTACCTCAGTACCTTTAACAATATCCCCCCGCCTTCCTCCTTCCCCATACTTCCCCCGCTGTTTCCCTTACAGATGATAAAGAAAGGACATATGGTGTCGGCGGCGTTGATCGGCAGAGGCACGGCGTATGCGCTGTGGGGCAAGCTCAAGACGGCCATAGAGGACTACTCCAAGGTCGGTTCTTGCAGGTTCTTGCGGGTTCTTGCAGGTTCTTGCAGGTTCTTGCGGGTTCTTGCAGGTTCTTGCAGGTTCTACTAGGTTCTGTGAGGTTTCTGCAGGTTACTTTCGATGTGACGGAAGACGCGTCTAGCGTCTTAGACGGTTGCGTCTAGACGCAGCGTCTAAGACGCTAGACGCATTTCCGGCTAGGTTAGACGCATATTAAGCGAAAACCCGGGCAGGCCTAAAAACAAATGTTCGGGCAGCCTAAAAAAACTTCTGAGGGCCATGGGAAGGGTGGGAGACATGCACATATGGCACATTTGGGTCAAATTTTCGCCGTACCAAAACTTTTTCCCCATATTTAGAGTTCACAAAAATCCTCATTTCTCATCATACATAGTTAGGGAACCACGTCTCTCTAGCAGTAGCAAACACGAAGTAAATAGCTACTACTACATCCCTGCAATCACTAGGCCTCCTCCTACCTCTCCTCCTCCTCCTCCTCCTACCTCTCCTCCTCCTCCTCCTCCTCCTCCTCCTCCTCCTCCTCCTCCTCCTCCTCCTCCTCCGGCTTGTTTCTAAGGTCGAAATGGGTGGGAGGGGGTGCAAATGTCGCGAAATTGAAGTTCGCATCGAAATCGCGAAATTCAATTTCGGCCGCGCGATTTTTTTTTTCGGGCTGACCGAAAAACTTTTACCCAAGCGTCTAGCGTCTAAACACGCGTCTAGCGTCTATCGTCTAGACGCTGCGTCTAGACGCTAGACTCAAGACGCGTCTTGCGTCTTCCGTCACTTTCGAGTCGACTCAAAGGTCACCTCGCTGTGGGGCAAGCTCAAGCCAGCCATAGAGGACTACTCCAAGGTCGGTTCCTGCAGTTGATTGGAGGTTCTTGCAGGTTCCTGCAGGTTCCTGCAGGTTATTGCACCACAGAAAAGATGCGCAACACAGGGGAGATGCATGGGCGAAGGGAAAGGTAGAGAGTGTCTGTGTGCGTTTTAGGCAGGGGGAATGAAGAAGGGGCACGGCATGGTGTGTGCGCTGTGGGACAAGTAAGGTGCCTTCTGAGTCGTCTCAATAACGCATTTTGGTGGGGGGACTCTGAAACCTTGTGGTGAGACAACCGCAGTGCAGACAGACCAGAGTAGGCTGCTTCTGCATGGTGCGAAAAAAGAAACGGAGAATGTAAGGAGCGATCTCTAAGCGTCTCAATGTCTATAATGTTTATCTCTCTGCGCTCTCTCACCTGCTCCTTCCTTCCTCCTCCGCCTTTGTGGCCTCTTTCAGGCCCATGGCCCATATCAGGCCATAACTTGTCTAAGACCCTTTTTTTTCTTTCCCTGTGTTTTTTTGTCGATAAAAACGCATGGGTTGCACGCACCCCTGTTCTCCCTGCCCGGGTTCCACCCGCCTCTGTTTTTCCCATGTGGGATCCACTGTTGGCCCCCGTGTGGCCCATGCCAGGCGATAGAGGAGGAGCCCCCATGGCAGAGGCATGGAGGAGGCGAGCACAGGCGTGCATGGCAGATGGACAGGCTGAAGCGGTGAGGAGCGGGGCTCGGGGTTTGAGGAGGGTGGATGGATGGATGGATGACGAGGAGGGTGGTACATGGGCGAAGCACAGGAGATGGACATGCCGAGTGTTGAGAGGGGTTGCATGGGGTTGGGAGGGTGGTGATGGAAGGGTGTAGTGTAGGTGGCGTGGTGCTTGGGTAGGTGAGATTGGTGAATGGTTAGGGTGCTCATTACCCCATTACCCCATTTCCCCCTTACCCCAGTACCCTATTACCCCATTGCCCCATCACCCCATCACCCCATCACCCCATCACCCCATCAACCCATTACCCCATCACCCCATCACCCCATCACCCCATCAACCCATTACCCCATCACCCCATTATTACGCCAACCCATCACCCCATTACCCCTTCACCCCACCACCCCACCACACCGCACCTCCTTTCCCACCATCCCACATGCAGTGAAGGATCTGAGCCGCGTGCTGTAGCTGATACCAGGCAATCCCATTTCTGAGGCACCTCACCTCTCCCCACCTCTCTCCACCTCTCTCTACCGCCCCACAGGCAGTGAAGGATCTGAGCCGAGTGGTGGAGCTGGAGCCGCACAACATGCAGGCATACAACGAGCGAGGTGCGTGTGCTACCATACCATGCCACCATGCCACCATGGCATCAACACCAGCACTTGCAACAACGTTGGCCACTATGGGACTTTCACGTGTTCGGTGTTTTTTTATGATTCTCAAGAAATTTCTCAACAGTACCCTCTTATGGGGCTGTCTTGTGTTTGGTACTCTTCTTGTGACAATACTGCCCTCTCTCTCTGTGTGACCTACATGGCGTGCAGTGCAGTTCTGTGCATGTGCAGTAGCATCAATGACCTCCTCACCAACCTCCACCCACCCACCTACTAACCATCCATGCATGCTTCACTTACACCATGCCTCACCATGTGTGTGTGTGTACCACACTGCATGCCACGGTTTGGGATGGCACGGCACAACATGGCATGGCATGGCGCGATATGGCATGGCATGACATGGCACGGCATGGCACTGCACCACATGACCACATGGCGCGGCAACAACAGGGACGTGCTGCTGCAGCTGGCGCAGTCACAGCGCGAGCTGGGTCGCGTGGAGGATGCGGAGAAGAGCTACCTCAAGGCGCTGAGGCTCGACCCGCGGCACCCGCAGGCGTACCGCGTGTACAGCCAGTTCAAGCAGGCCATGGGGGACCACAGGTGGGTGTGGTGCGGTGTGGGTGGGTGGGTTTGTGTGTGTGCTAGTGTGTCTGCATGTGGGTGTGCGTGCCTGTGCAATGTGGGTCGACCAGCGCGCCACCCACAGGCGTACCGCGTGTACAGCCAGTTCAAGCAGGCCATGGGGGACCACAGGTGGGTGTGGGTGGGTGGATGGATGAGTGTGTGTGTTGAGGTATGCCTGTGTGCCTCTGCCTCTACCTCTGCCTCTGCCTCTGCCTCTGCCTCTGCCTGCGGCTGTGCTTGCGGTGTGGCTGTGGGTGTCCAGTGGTTCACTAATTTGCGCATGTCTAACGCCCATCATCCACTTTCTCAACCCGGACCCGACTAGCTCTTGTCTAACGCACGCACCTCGACAAGCAGTGGCGAGGCAGGAGCTGCAGCTTCTGCCAAACGACCGTTGAGGCACCTCAAACCTGCTCTCTCTCTACCTTCACATCACATCCCACCAGGACCGCGCTGTTAGTGGCGAGGCAGGGTCTGCAGCTGCTGCCAAAGAACGTTTGAGGCGCCTCTCAAAGCCCCTCTCTCTACCTACCTCCACATCACATCCCATCCCACCAGGACCGCTCTATTAGTGGCGAGGCAGGGGCTGAAGCTGCTGCCAAACGACATGGATTTGCGCTACACTGAAGCCTCCTCCGTGCACGCACTCGGAATCTTCTCCGAAGCGGTGTGTGTTCTCACTCACCCTTCCTGCTTCCTTAGACTTCCCAGCTCAGAGGGTTACATTACACTGAAGCCTCCTCCTTCCCTCCTCCTCCGTGCATGCACTTGGAACTCGTCTCCGGAGCGGTGTGTCCCCACCCTCCCTCCCGTTTTGAGTCTGCTCACCGCGCTGCACCGTGCTACACCGCCCTGCTGCACGCCCTGTGCTGCCCGCCACGGGCCCACGAACGAGTTTTACGCCCCACCCCACCACCATCCACCTCTACTTCTTTTGAAGCACCTGGATAACGGATTGCTCACATTCCCATCCTATGTGCGATCTCTACACCCGTGGCTCGCCCCCCACCATCATCCACCATCATCAAGCATCATCCACCATCATCCCCCATCATCCCCCATCATCCCCCATCATCCCCCATCATCCACCATCATCCCCCATCATCCCCCATCATCCCCCATCATCCCTATTGAATTGTCCCACTTCACCTTGACTCTTTCCCGCCTCCCAGGTGCAATTGTATGACAGCTTTCTTGGTATCAATTTCCCACCAGACGAGGAGAGGACCAAGCAATTCCAGGCCTTCTACCAGGTGCGTACGCGGCGTACGCCTATGTTATGTTACTACCTGCATGCATAGTTTCGTCGACGCGCCTCGAAAGTGCACTTACGTGGATACCTATTGTATCAAATCCCCTACGTACTATGTAGTGCATGTATGCGTACAACCTACGGCATAAGTGCATACGGCATACACACGACATACCACATACCACATTGTTTCCACCCCTCCCTTCCACCCTTCCCTCCTCCCCTCTCCCCTCCCACCTCTCCCTCCCCCGCTCTTCCCCTCCGCCCCTCACACCGTGGGTGGGACACAGAGGGAGCTGACATGCTACCTGGCCATGAGGAGGCACAAGCCGCTGCCAGCACTCAAGATAGACGACGAGCTCAACCCCACCTTTAAGGTAACCCCCCTTCCACTCACGGCTCACCGTTGATGCGAGGCTGACTGACTGACAGACTCTCTAACTTAAGGTACCTTAAGTTAGGATGCGCGCGTTGCTGCAAGCAGCGGAGAAGCTAGGATCCCTGGTGAAACGCAGTGCCCTGAATTTGAAATGCAGGCGGCTCTTAAGTTGCCTCTCACACTTCCTTTCACGCTCCCATTCACACTCCACCCGACAACAGGAAGGGTGGAGCTGTAGGAAGGGTAGAGAGCGTACCCCCAGAGAGAGTGTGGAGCGTTGGAGTGGCTGAGGAGGCACCGAGTGATCTGCACAAGGGTGTGGTTGCGGCTCTCAGCTATGCCGTTCTGCTGCGGGCTGTCAGGGAGGGTGAAGTTTTGCTGGATGCCTGCTGAGGAGCAGAAGGCTTTGAGCTTGTCGTTGCAAAACTCACCACCACCATCTGAGTGGAGGCGCTTGAGTTTGCGGTCAAAGGCGGTCTGTGCCTGTTTAACCCACGCCATGAGGACCTCTGGAACCGCAGCCTTAGTGTGGAGGAGATGAACAGAGACGTAGCGAGAGTGGTCATCGACGATAACAAGGAAGTAGCGATAACCACCTCGTGCGGGAACAGGGGCAGGGCCCCAGACGTCCAGGTGTACCAGGTCCAGTGGTCCTGCTGCGACAGAGGGTGAGGCCGGGTGGGGCTGTTGACGCAGTTTGCTCTTGGTGCAGTCAAGGCACGTGGGAGCGGGGGAGTCTGGTGGTGGAGGAAGTGAGGCTGGCAGGCCGAGTAGAAGTTTCTTGGAGGCCATGTCAGCAAGTGTGCGGAAGTTGGGGTGCCCGAGCCGATGGTGGTAGAGTATGGTCGGGTTGGAGAAACTGCGGCACGAGCATGGTGAGGTAGTCGCCGCTGTTTGGGTGGTTGACACCTGTGGGATGGGTACTTGCAGCGTGTAAAGGCCGCTGCTGTTGAGGGTGAAACGAGTCAAGACCTTGTTGGTGAGTGGGTCGAGGATATCACCATAGTTCTCGTTCTCCAAGAAGATGGTGCGTAGCCCAGCTTCCTGAATTTCCGTTTGGGCCACGAGATTGTGGCGGAGTGAAGGCACGCACATTCCAGTGACAGTGCCGGAAGGGAAGGCGGGGCACGGGACTGTGGATGAACCCTTGGCATGAGTGGTGAAGCTTGAGTCAGCTCCTAGGAGAGGGATGGGTGTTGCATAGGGTTTGAAGGAGAGTGTTTCCTTGAGTACAGTGTGTGTGGCGCCGCTGTAGAGTGTGAACTCTATGTATTGTGGTGCTTGTGATGAGCCGAGGTACTGGGAGGAAGCTTTATTAATCATGGCAGTGCCAGGGAACAACAGGTTGATACGGACATCAGCAGGAGCACTATCACTAGCACTAGCCGAAGCGGGGTCCTGGACCTCAACCAGGTTGGCCTTACGCGCACGCATCCAGTTAGGTGGCCTCTTGTCTATGCCGTGGATGGCGTACCATTCGTCGTCCTTCTTCTTGAAGCACGTAGCAAGGGGGTGGTTAGTGCCACCACACACTTGTCCCTTACGGTTGCCATACTTGACGACGTAGGTGCACGGTGGGAAGCGGTTGCGCTGGAGGGGCGCCGAGGCAAAGGCCGATGCGACACTGGCTTGAGGCATGGGAGCATGGATGGCGTACGCCTTGGCTTGAGCCGTGGAGTCTTTCTCGGCAGAGAGGAGTGCGGTGGAGACTTTGGCAAAAGTGAGGACTTCCGCAGTCAGCGTGAGGAGCATCTTCCTTGTGATTTCATAGGCTGTTGTGAGACCAACGAGGAGAGCTGTTGCAGGGGCCTGTTCGGGGAAGACTATACCCAGCTCCTTGAGTTCGCCATGAATGGTCTGAACCTTGGCAATGTAGTCGGCCATTCCCGAGCAATCCTCAAGGCGGACCTGGAACATGCTGGGGATGAGGATGGCAACTCCGACTGCAGTCTTGTTCATGAACCGATCCTGGAGATACTTCCAGATGGCGTTGGAGGTGGGGTAGTTATGGAACGTGTTGACAAGTTCTGGAGGGGTGGAGGCGATGAAGACGCTGATAATTGCAGCATCGGCCTTCTCCCACTTCCGGTACTTCTCAACGGCTTCCTCATATGCCTTTGTGTCAGCCTCACTTGCGGATTCGGTCGGCTCGCGAGGGAGAAGGGGCTGTTTTCCCTTGCCACGATTGAGGAGGACATCCTTGAGGTCCAATCCCTGCACGTCACGGCTCAGCAGGTGCTTGTCAACCCCATAGCTCCATGCCTTGAAGTTGGAGCTAGAGCCATCGGCTTCAAGACGGAGTGGGGTGATGGGGTTGGCCATGGTGGACGCAGTGAAGGCCATGCTGAAGAACCCTTGGTGTCTCGCGCGAAGCGCCGCTCTTAAGTCACCGAAATTCGACGGGTCCGAATAGGAAAAATCGTTAATGTCGGCCGCGTCGGAATGCCTTGTAGAGAGATTTTTCAGGCCGTCGAAATTAGGTCGAATCGGCCGATTTCCGTAGTACTAACTCTAATCCCACACACCCCCCCACACACCACCCTCAGCTTCGCGGCTACGCTGCTGCTCGGCTTCGCGGCTACACGGCTGCTCGGCTGCGCTGCTGCACCTGTTCAGCTGCGGGAAGGTGGGGGGGATGGGGGTAGGAGTGCAGATGCGGAGCGACGGGCGGCAGCCCGATGGTGAAGCTGCGGGGCGACGGGCGGCGGCCCGACGAGAAGCTGCGGGGCGACGGGCGGCGGCCCGACGAGAAGCTGCGGGGCGACGGGCGGCGGCCCGACGAGAAGCTGCGGGGCGACGGGCGGCGGCCCGACGAGAAGCTGCGGGGCGACGGGCGGCGGCCCGACGAGAAGAGGTGACGCAACGATGAAATTGAGGGATGGCGAAAAGATGAACGATAAGTTAGAGCGACGTCGACGAGCGTACCATAGAAATTGAAGACGTCGTCGAAGTTGACGGGAAAGTGGTGCGGGGGAATTTCCGCCCACGAATGTCGCGAATCGACGGCGACGAGATTGACGGAGGCTACGCCGAGGTTTGCGGGAAGAACATCCGCATAGATAGGAGGATCACGATCCGCATGTGCGGATGAAGAGCTCTGATACCATGTGAGAACTTAGGCTTAGCAGCGATGAATTAGTAATGAGCTTGAAGCTCTTTAAGTACATCCAAGAAGGGGAGGGAATGGATGGGGAAGGGAATCGGGGGCAATCCCTAGGGATTGGGGGTAATCCCAAGGCAATCTCCAATTGGTGGGTTGGAGATTGCTTGGAGATTACATTTGGGTTTGGTTGGGATGTAGGTGTACACCCAACCAAACACAATGTGCAAACTACACTACTCTAGGATATAGAAAATACAAAGTACAAATTGTGAGATTGAAGGCTAACATTAACACCGTGCTCATCCCTACCCGTCTCCTAGCAGCTTGCGCGACCCTCCTTGGGTGCGCACACCTTGCGCTGGCCCGCTGGGCCCTGGCCTGATTCCGCCCGGTCCGACCCTGGCCAGCATATGGTTGCATGGCCGAGGGCCAGGGGTGGGCCGGGCCGGCCACGGTCTGGTCCTGGCCCGGCCAAGCTTATGCCAAACTACTCTACTAGTACCACCACGTGATAATGTGAAGAAGAGGATGGTGGTCAGCAGTGCTGATGCGAGAGGATAAAATGGAAGAGGGGTCATTGGAGAGCATGGGTCAGGACTAGTAGGATCAAATGGAGGAAAAATGGCGGAGGGGGAGAGGAGAAAAAATTGGAGTACAGCCAAGCAAACACCTTGCAGATGGCTTACAGAAATCCCAGTCTTGGAAGGTTGCCGACTGCAGTGGGGATTGTACCATTGAGCTGATTGCCTAAGAGTGATCTGCAACAATAAGCACATGCGGTAGATACAGGAAGCTCGAGTTCGCATGGCACCAAGCAGCGGATAGGAGCAAGCAATTCCATTGGGAGGCGAAACCCGTACGCAATAATAGAGGCATGGAGGCATGGACATCATCATCTGCAGGAAGGAATGTGTGCAGACAATGGCAATGAATCGATGGGGATCATAGGGACACGAGAAGTGAGGAGAGAAGTGCTCTTTGTGTGCCCAGAGGAGTGTCATCAACGTATAGAATGGCCACGGGGAAGAGTGCATGGGAGAGGGGAGGAGAGAGGCAGAATCAAGATAGGAAGAAGGGGAAGGGAAGGTATGAGGTGGAAAGGAGGGATGATGAGGAGAGAGGTGTGAAGAGAGGAAGAGAGGGACGCAAGAAGAATGCAAATATTAAAGGTGAAAGGGCTTGGAATGAAAAAGGGAAGGACGAGCAAGAAACGCGGAGAAACTGAGGCCTTGTACTAGGAAAAAAAAATGTAAGAGTGTCGTGCTATTTTCTGAAAGCGGGAACTTGAGGTAGAATCCATGAGCTGAAAGCTCTTATGTACGTCCGAAATGGGAAGGAACGGATGGGTCTGGATTTGGGTTCAATTTCCAATGGGATCGGCTGAGGTCTCCAATTGGTGGGTTGGAGACTTTGGGATGGTGATCACATTTAGGTAAGGTTGAGATGTTGTAACAAGCAACCAACAAAAAACACAACTGTACTAAACGAGGATAAACACAGAAAATACACAGGTAAGTTGAGGTCTAAATTCAAAACCTTGAAACCTCGGCTCTAAACAGCAGTGTGGCTTCACTCTCCCTTACTGTCGCGCTGATAGAGCTCCCCGAAAGGCCTAGCTCAATCTGCACAGCGGCTAAGGTAAGAAGTTGTGCAAGACACAGTGTAAGGCTTGTGTCGTTGGAGGTGCTGATTGTGTGCTGTACTGTCATGTATACAGATTGGTGGGAGGTAGGGTTGTTGGTAAGTTTGGAGGAAGGCTGTTGGGAACGAACTGCAGAGGTTGGTTGGCATATTCCCAAAGAGGCAAGTTCAGATAAGCTGAGCTGTATGGCAATTGTATTTCGCAGCCAGGCCTTAGGGTGCACTGGAGTGAGGATGAGGAAGGCAGCTGGGTAGAAGAATATTACAAAAAGAAGCGCTTTGCTTACTCATCGCTTGTATACTTCTGATTACTGCAACTGTTTTCCTAACACGAACGCGAGCAGTGTAGGGAAACACAAGCGGACCGATCTGGTTAGGAGCAACCTGGCTAGACTCAGGTCGGTGTCTGTGCATGTCTGCAGACAGACACTGCAGTGTGTGGTCATTCCACACCCTCAAATCACTTCTACCTTGCAATTCACAATCACATGGCTCCAGTCGCATGCACACTACTAGTACCAACAAGACCACAGGATAAGGCGAAGGAGAGGGTGGTGGACAGCGAGCGGATAAGAAGGAAGAGGGGTCAGTGGAGTGCATGGGTCCCGTCCAGGCTAGCAATCAGAGGAGGAAGCGGAGAGGTGTAGAAGGGAGCGCACCAACTTGCAGCGGGGGCTTACAGGTAGACATAAGCACAGAACGAAAATATCATAGAAACATATAGATATCGAGAAGAAAGGTTCTGCAGGAAGAGTAGGCATGAGCATATTGTTCAAGTCGGGTCGGTCGACCCCCCTTGTTTTGGCCGGAGCCAATTCAGTAGTCATTCGGATCGGGTCGAACCGGCACTCCACCGGTTCAACGTGAATGTGCGACTCGGGCTCCTCGTGACAATATATCCATCCATCACATGATATGCCAACAGAAAGGGAGTTGGAGCTCGCTTTCCATGCTTCCAGTCGAGTAACAATGCACTAGTCACCACTAGGCATGAGCATTTTACCGAACCGAACTGATTCGGTGATTTTGCAGAATGTGTGGTGAAGGCTTTGGTGCCGAAATCTTGCATCTATGCACCCAAGGCAGAACCTAAACTACGACACAAATGGGCCTGGAAACGCATCTTTCCTATAAGAAAACGCCTTAGAAACTGAAAGGTGGTAGAAACTCATGAAAAACGCGTGGGGATGCTAGAAATGGTAGGTGGCTGGGGGCGTACAAACAGACCTAGGAGAGAAACAGCCCCTCTCGACCTGAGTCGTGAGGGGTGTCAGAACGAACCGGTTTTTGTCCAATTACGAAACCGAATGTTAAACTAACCAGAAGAACCGCCAAACCTATTTGTTAAATGAACGGGTTCGGTTCGTCAGCGAGCCAAATACCAAAAACTATGGTTCGGAATTCACCGAACCGAACCGCACCGAACCGTTCCGCGGTTCGTTCGATAGAATTCTCATCCCTACTAGCCATGTACTTAAGTTTGCTTTAATACATACTTCAGGCAACCGAACTTGGACCGATTCAAGCCGAACTGCATTAGAAGCCCTTCAGGCTCAAACTTGAGGACTTGAACAACAAAGAGTGAACCAAACTCGTGAGCTGTTCAAACCGAACCAAACTCGTTTGGTAAATCCGACTATGCCCGGGACTTGGAGCAGGTCTGACCGGCACCAGTTCGGCTTTGATACTTGCTCACGACTGCTTACATTTCCTGCAGGTTTGTAAGGATGCCGATAGTAGTGGGGATTGAGCCTGTGAGCTGATCGTATTCAAGAATTCTGCCACAGTGAACACAAATGGTTACCGGTCAGGAAGAGCATCAAAAGGAGAAATGGTGGAGATTAGGAGAGAAGAAGCGAGAGCTCAGCCAAGAAAAGGCCTTGCAGGGTGGTTTACAGGTATCCTAGGCTTGCTTGCAAGGTTGGTGATTTTACTGCTAAAACCTGGAAAATACACCCACAACAGAATGGATATCACGTATATACGCGTATGTAGGCATGAGCACGGCCCGGGTCGGGCCACGCCGGGCCCTTCAAAAATCCGGGCCGGACCTGGCCCGGCCCAACCCGGGCCGAATCAGGGAGATTGTGGCCCGAGCCCGGGCATATGGTACTCGGGCCAGGGTGGCCCGACCCGGGCCATGCAAGGCCCGACCCGGGCCGGGCCCGGCCCGGCCCGGGTGGTCATTTGATGCAGTAGCTCATGCTTTAGGGCCTGCTTTTAAGTCCCATGGCCCTAAGGGCCCCACCCGGGCCGCGCTTCGAGGCGGGCCGGCCCGGCCCGGCCCGAAATTGGCGGACCAAAGGCGGGCAGCCAATGGCCCGGCGGGCCGGGCCGGCCCGGCCCGCCACGGGCCGAAACCGAAAATCTGAGGCCCGGCCCGGGGCAATTCCGGGCCGGCCCGACCCGGGCCGGGCCCAGCCCGGATTTTTGCTCATCCCTACGCATGTACGAAAACGCGTTATACATTTCGTGATACATGAACGAACAAACGAATGACGACGACGACGACGACAACAACAATAATGACATTATCTGCATACAAGGTTTGTTCCTGCCGTTCTCGTTATTTGCAAAAACACTGTTTTGATTCGAAACTCAACTGCCCCATCATTTTCTCCGCGACCCTACGGCACATCACCTCACACCACGTGCCAAACCCAGTCCTGTCCTTACCATAAATCAGATGCGTAGGCATGAGAACAACAGCAAGATACGTTTCCGAATCATATATGTCTCAAGCATACTTTAGACTACTTTTTCTTAACTCGCAGTTTGGTGTCGCGGAGCAATGTCGGACGCTACCACAAGCAGCAACGTAAATGTCACGTTTCTTGGTGGCAGGACCTTGCATTTTCAGGATGATTCTAGTCTAGCCACCGCATTATGTTATGCATCCCAATTGGGCATTCTGGCTAGCTGATACACAATTTCCCTCTCCATCCTCGCCATGGTGTTTTTACTCTGCCTTTAACATTTTTTATCCTGACCGACACCATATTTCGAACGTATTGCGGAAACCCACTATGATGGTGGCGGCGGGGCAAGTTCTTTAAAGTTTAAACACACCCTCACTCTTTTGCAATGCCTCCACTCTGAAATACCTCCACTCTT